AGTTTATGAAAACTGCAATATTTATTTACAGTTGCAGGGTTAAGGGTAGTGGGAGTTGGCACCCAGACCACTCCAATGGGCAGAAGTGGTCTGGGTGCCTGGAGTGTCCCTTTAATTACTCATCCTTATAGCAGAGCTGTGCTCTGCCTCCCTGGCTGCTATCTTCATAATTGACAAGATCAGCAAATCCAATGCTTTCCAATAGGAAAGCATTGGGAGGCTGTCATGTTGCAAAACGCTGCTGTTCTATCAGATATCTATATCTATCAGATTTCTATATTGACGTCACTTCCGGTGCCCCCATGTCACCAGAAGTAACGCGAGATCAGCTGCGCGCTAGCAGGCGAGGTATAGAATTCTGGTGGAGGCACCGCATGTGTGCCGCCTCTGATGACACTCGATCAGCTGGGCCTTTAATCTGAAGGGTGTACCGCGCATGCGCTCGGCACTTCCTTCAGCTATAGCAATCTGATGGGTGTGCAGCACATCCTTCAGATATAGCAATCGGATGGGTGTACTGTGCATGCGTGCAGCACATCCATCAGATATTGCAATCTGATCTACAAATCTGACGGATTTCTGTACCACAGCTTTTACTGTGTAGTAACATACACAGTGTAGGCGAATGTGGTGTTAAATAAGGGAGATGCACGGTTAATGGGGGTGACACACAGGGATAGAGGGTTAATAGGGGTGATACACATGGGATGGGGGATATGGAGGAGTGACCAAAAGTTGCCTAACAACCCAGAAGTACCTCTAGTGGCTGGTAGCCAGTCACTAGAGGTGGAGTTAACACAAAGATAATTATTGCAGTTGCACTTGCAATAGTTACCTTTACACAGTTAAGGGACCTGGGACACTGAACCCAGACCACTTCAATGTGCTGAATTGGTCTGGGTGCCTATAGTATCCCTTTAAACATGTCAGTAAACATATATATAGAAACATATTAAAGTAAATAATCAATTACACATGTCATTGCAGTTACTACGACATCAGGCGGATGGTGAAGAGGAAGGTGAAGGCAGCAGCCGCCTCCAGGAAGAGAACTGGACCTGATGCCCTATGAAGAGGAGCTCCTGCAGTTCCTGGGAAGAGACAACCTCCTTGGGATTGAGGGGACAACTGGTGCTGAAACATCTGAAGGTACATTGTTAAAGGACCACTATAGTGCCAGGAAAACAAACTTGTTTTCCCGGCACTATAGGGTAATTATGTCCCCCACCCTTGTGGCCCCCTTCCCACTTCAGCCACTTACCTTTCTCCAACCCTTTCAGCCACTTACCTTTCTCCAGCGCCGGGCTCCCTCGGCGCTGGAGAACACTTCTCCCTCTGCCGAGGTCAGCTCCGAATGCGCAGCAAGAGCCGTGCGCGCATTCAAACCACCCATAGGAAAGCATTATTATTCCTCTCGTAAGTACTTGCATAGCATTGATAGATAAAGGTTATGTGTGTGTGCGTGCGCATTTAAACATACACACACACGTATGTGATTTTACTGTATATGAAGTTAATTTATCACATACATGTATTTCAAACCACCTGCAACCTGTTGACATTCCTTCACCACGTATGAGTGCGGCTACCCTCCAACAGCCGGCCACAGGTGTCCAGGAACAGGGATCCACTGCTGAGCGTAAGTAAAAAATGCTTTAACTGTACACATTTTCTTTGCAGACATACTAGTTTATGTAACAAGCAGGGCCGGGTCGAACGCTTAGCAAACTAAGCGTCTGCCTAGCACGCACTGGCCAGGGGGTGCAATGTCTGGGTGACCAGCAGGAGTGGGGGGGAGCTCACATCGCTCCTCTCCTTCTGTTCACTTTATGTACTGTGGCTGAGTGGCCCACGTGTGATCCTATCTACCATCTACTTGGCCTGACAGGAAGCTGAGTGCAACGATCAGCTTCCTGTCATGCAGAAGAAACAGGAGATTCTCTACCTGGGGACGCTCGGCCACGATACATGTAGTGAGATTAGAAGTAAAGGGAGGTGGGCACAAAGACATGCGTTGAGAGGTCACAAAGAGACAGAGAAAGGGCTAGGGGGAACAAAGATGCATAATTATACTTAGACATAATAAATTAATAGCATGACTGCATATATCTTATTTCCAAGTTTAAATAATATTGTTGTACACATAATAGTAAGCATTGCAACATATGACACATGCTAACAATGTTCTTTCTCTGTTCTCCCCTATAGGTTCTGATGGTACTCTCCCCCTGCAAGAGGGGGGTACCATTACCCTAACAGCAGTGGATCCTGATTCAGTGACATCAGTGGTTGAAGAAATGCAGTTGCCACAAATTACTCCACCGTTGGCTGCGCTGTATGAGACGATCCAGGCTCGTCAAGCTGAACTGGAGACGTCCATACAGCAAGATAGGGAGAATCAGCGAGAACTGTTGCAGAATGTAATAACCGAGGTACGCTCCATGTCGAACATTTTGAATGAGGGCGTTAGGCAATTTACATCAGCAATGGTTTTCTTGCAACAAAATATGCAGCGCTTTATGGAAATGAGGGAGGAAGAGTGCATTCTAGTTTGAGATGGAACACATTCTGGAACCATTCAAAACAACGATCTTGTTATACGCGAGGTTCATCGATGAACTGTTCTTCATAGTAAGAGGTGACCCTGATGCAGTTGCTGAGATGGTAGCTTCCATCAATAAGGTGAGCCCCAATATTGAGCTTACAATGACAGCTAGTAAGACCACTTGACTTTCTGGATGTGAGAGTAAGCATCGAGAATAGTAAAATTATATACACTCTGTTCACCAAGTCCACCGACCGTAACACACTTCTACATGCTGATAGCTTTCACCCAAACTCTCTGAAAGCTTCTCTACCATATTCACAGTTCTTGAGGGTATTTAGGAACAATTCGGACCCTGTCAGAGTGCAAGAACAAATCAACACCATGTGGGACAAGTTCCTAGAACGGGGGTATAAGAAGACAACCTTGAATAATGCCCTACTGAAATGCCACCAGCAGAAAGCAAGTTCCAACAACATTAATCAACGTTTGGTGTTTCCAACGATCTACAACACGGCCTCTTCAGCATTAAGGAGATCAATATGAACTGGCGGATACTCAGTAATGATAACACTCTCCCTAAGGAATTTGCTTCTCCACCAATGATGAGCTACAAGAGAAATAAAAGTTTGAGAGACTTACTTGTGAAGACTGATCCTTGTCACTGTTATGAAGTTAAAACAGCAACGAGTAATCATGGGTGCTACCGTTGTCTGGGGTGCGTCACCTGTGGACATATGGTCCCAGGGCGGACGTTTTCAAATCCCCACACTGGTAAACAATACACCATTAAACATCGATTGACCTGCACTAGTGACTTTGTCATATATAAATTGACATGTCCCTGTGGCTTGTGTACATAGGCAAAACTGACCTGCCTCTAAGAGAACGGATTCGAAATCACCACTCGGGTTGCATACCGTGATGGTGTCTTGGAGTTACCGGGGGCTAGACATTTTCTGGAAATAGGACATACCCTCCCGTCACTTAAACTAATGGCGATTGATCATATCCCACCACCAAGGAGAGGGGGAGATCGGAAGAAAATGCTCCTTCAAAGAGAAATCCATTGGATCAGAACTCTGGAAACGATAGTACCAAAGGGACTGAATGAGAAATATTCTCTTGCAGTATTTTTATAACAAGATACCCGGTGTTTCAAGCTTCAGTACAATGACTCCAGATCAGTCCTGAATAAACTCATGAGCTCACCCTGGTGGATATGCTATGAGTGTCCAGTACTAAGAGGACGGAGGAGTAACTGAAGCCAGACTAGTCTGGGATTTACTTTTTTACTCTTATGCTTTTTTCAATAATGTAATGAGTGTCCCACTCTTCACCCAGTGAGTTGGAAATTAAGAGGACTGGCCTTTTTTTATGGCTATTTAATTGTGTTGGAGTATAGTATTTCCTTTTATGGGAGCAGGTTGATTGAGGACCGATTTAGAGGATATGAACCTCTCTAGACTTGCGATGGTTGGAACGGAGTGATTTGAGTTTAGGTATAAGGTGGGGACTTCAGAATAACCTGGGAACATTGTACACTATTGGTACAATTTATTGTCTCTATATACTATAACTGGTTCAGGTAAAGGAACAGTAGATATCAGATGGCACTAGGTGCATAAGAGATTTAGTAGATCATTGGGATCTAGTTTGAGACAATATGGCTATGTACATATGTAAATAAGGATATTCAGCTTTTCAGCAATGTGACCAGCTTGATAGTATAATATAGGGTTTTAGATCCTCTTATTACCTAATCTTAAATGGATTTGTGAATATATATACTTATGGTAACGCAGTGTGGCAATCCATTCTCTAGCAAGCATCACTGTTTGCATTAAGGTACAGTGGGGTTCCCAGAGTGAGTAGCACCTCCTAGGACTTATAAGACTAGGCAGTATGGTTGTTCCCTAGCATAGGTATCTGCTTTTAATTTTCAATTTATATTTATTTATGTTTATTGTATTTCTTGTTATTCTGTTTTTCACAGTGGGTGCATAGAACTACACTATGTACATGTTGGAGGCAGACTCCGATGGCTTCGGTCCGTGCCCGCTAAGCCATGATAGCGTCTGGTTGCCATGGGGATGCCATCTGTATCGCCGGGTACGGAGTCGACGCATGCGTGATTGACGTCATCCAAATGCGACCGGCAGTTTCAGCGGGGCAATCGACCGGACGGCTTGTGGAGATGTGCCTCTAACCAGGTGGGGTGAGTACACTGTTTGATTAGTGTTTATTGGTGCAGTATATATGCATACTCTTATTACTGGCTAACCTTGTCCTGATGAAAGTCTGATTGTCCAGACTGAAACGTTGATTTTTAACTTGGAGCATTAAAAGTTAATTTTTTGGCATCTCCCGCGAGCTCCGACACTAAGTGGGCCAAACGGCCAATATAACGCCCGAAAACCGGAGCAAAAGGGCAGTCACCTACCCTGCAGCTGGTCGCAGGAACATGGGCCGAAAATCAAAGAAAACTAAGGCGGACCGGGTGCCCAGCAGCCGAGATATCGGCGGTCTCCTGCGGCGCGCTCAGCAGACCGCATGGCCCAATATGGCGCCGCATATGGAAGATGAAACATCTTCTTACTCCTCTGAGGACTTCCACGCGGATACGGACGGAGGAGCCATGCTGGGAGCTGTACCAAAGGTACAAACTACACCACCTGCTGGCCAAGAACCGATCACTAAAAATATGCTGAAATCAATGCTGGAGGAGCTGCGCTCCAATATAGCAGCCGACATCTCACAATTTAAAGAGACAGTAGCTGGTGCACTTACCCGACTTACAGCCCTAGAGGCCACGTATAGCAACCAGGATTCCAGACTAATTAAAGTAGAGCAGAGGCTGGAAGAAATACAACTAGCCCAGAAAGGCATGGAGGCCAGAGTTGACACCCTGGAAGAACAGAGGCGACGGTACAACCTTAAACTGAGGGGCATCCCTGACACAGTGAGTACAGAGGAAACGCCGCACTACATAAGGCGTCTCATCTCAACCCTGCTACCGGCCAAACAAACAAAGGCACTAAAACTGGGTGGCATGTTCAGGCTACCAATGCCAAAAAATGCCCCTGCCACGGCCACGGCGGATCTTATTCTCCGCTTCCAAACAATGCACGACAAAGCTCTAATCTTATCTGCAGTGAGAGGGAAAACCCCAATCCAATTTGAAGGCTCATCTCTGCTCCTATTCCCTGACCTCACCAAGAAGACATTACTCTGGCGCAGGTCAATGAAACCACTACTCCAAATCCTGAGAGCCCAGGACGTGCCTTACCGCTGGGGAAACCCCAGACAACTCATACTCACTCACCAGGGAGGCACTTACAGAGCCAAGAACCCTCTGGAACTAGAGGCCAACATGCGCAGCCTGAAGCTACTACCGGAACAAGACTCAACCTCCCGCCTCCGAAACCTGGACCCGTCTAAGATCCCTACCTTCGCGCCACGGTCAACCACAGGACGCCCGCCTGCACTCCTAGCCACTTGACTGGCCCAAGACACACAGTTCATCTGCAGCGACCAACAAGCCAGAAGGAAAACCAGATCATACAGAAGAACTGCGTACTAACAGTATTATAACTCTCTTACGTTATTTTTGATGGTTATTATTACCCGCTGCTGCGCTCCCACTTATACCTAACTACCCTTCTCCCCTCTGTAATGTAGCTGTTACCTCAACGGGGAGTTGAAACACCCCGACCTAGACGCTATCCTGACAAACCTACACAGAGGGTGCACGTTATCTGAGAAGTCCCCCAACCCACCCTCCCCACTCTTTATAGCACGATACACATGTGCCATAGATATGTTATAAGAGGGTGCTAATCTGTACCTTTAGTAAGGTTCTACACTACAATGGAGGCTACCTGTTAGACCAGCATGCCCATACATATATAAAAATCCTCCCCCCACTCCGTACTGATACACATTGTCTAAATGTCATGCTTGTTGTATGCTATAACTTTGTTCCAGGAATATCGTCTGTTGCATACTCCCGAGTGGAGTGAGGCAAAAATAAAGAATTAAAAAAAAAAAAAAAAAAAATACTCATTTTTGTATCAAATATTAGAAATTGGAGAATGACAACTTAAAAATAAATAAATCATAGAATCAAAAAAAAAAAAAAAAAAGAGTTAATTTTTATTTGAAGATTAAGTCCGTGGAGTGCTATCTACCTTTATCTCTATATCTTTGCCAGATAAGCACCAGGCAGTGATTCTATTTTACAGTGAGTGCAACACTGCTTGTATTTTTATATATATATATATATATAATAATTCTATGTATATATTTATGTAATAGTTTTACATAATTAGGTCATTTTATTAATTACAATTTGCAGGACCTGCCTGACAACCCAGGCCAAAAGTCCAGGGAATTTAATTTGCTAGCACTGTATTTAACCCTGTAACTTTATATGACACCATAAAACCTGTACATGTGGGGTACTGTTTTACTTCGCTGAACACAAATAGTGTTTCAAAGCAGTAAAATGTATTACAACGATACTATCGTCAGTGAAAGTGACATTTTTTACACACAAATGGCACTTACCCGGACGAGATAATTGTTGTGATACATTTTACTGTTTTGAAACACTAATTTTTGTGTTCCGCGAAGTCTCCTGAGTATAACAGTATCCCTCATGTAAAGGTTTTATGGTTGTAACTGATCGACGGGCACCCTGACTGGGTACCTTCGTTGGAGGATGCTCCAAGCGCTTCCTGAGGGTATCCAGCCAACACCATAACCACCGTAGACTCCTTCAGAGAGCAAACCAGAAACAAGCTCTTACAAGAGTTTAGGAGTGATTAAAGCAAGTGAATATGCAGAGCATAGCACTATCTTGTAGCAGATTCCCCCAATAAGAGACGGCACTCCAAATTGAGGGTGAAGAAGAACTGAAGCTTTTAACGAGACACTGCTTTTATGCACATTTTGCACACATAGTACTGCCCACAGGGTTTTGTAAAACAACCAATCAATACGTACAATATACTCAGACACTCCCAGCAATTACAGACAAAATCCTCGCCTCTGCCTGTGATTTAATTACCTTACATAATGGGTTAATGTAACTATCACTGGCAGAGAAATACAGTTTTTACACATGTACTATAACTTTAAAACTATACATTCAATATTTAAAAAAACGACATATTATTTAGCATACTTTAATTATAAACATAGTCAAAATTCACTGCACCATTATTATTTCTGAATAGGGAAATTGCATTTTAAACACAATTGATAAATACACTGTTCATATACTGGACACAAATACAAAACGACATAGGGCTTTATATTTGCTACTCATACATAACCTGCCTGCTGTTATCTCAGTCCCATTTGCATTCCCCCCATCAACTAGGGTAGTGTGGTCTGCATGGGAGGACACAGTAAACTGACTAAATGACTTGAAGTGTTTAACAATGGATGATAGACATTTTCAAAACAAATCTCATCTCCACTGTTTTGTTTTTGTTTGGTTTTTGATAATGTTCATCATCCATTTTTTAACTCTCCAAGTCATTCAGTCACGCTAGCATTATTCACCCCAACCCATTCAGTCCACACTAGACTTGGGCATTCTTACGAATACCGAATAACGAATGGGTATCCAAACTAAAGAACGAACAAACGCATGGCCGCTTAATGAAAATCTTTCGTTTGTTCGTTCATTTGGCATTTTGAATTACACTCTGCGTGAATTACACTTAGCACTCTGTGTAATTCAAAAAGCCGAACTACTAACCGAATGAATAGCAATGATGATGAATGTGCCTTTAGTTCATTCGTATAACTAGTTCGGCTTTTTGAATTACAGGCAGTCAGTAGTGTAATGTATTCATGTATTGTAATGCAAACTACCGAATGCACAAATCATTCGTGCTTTTTCAAAGCATTGCATTGCTTTACATGGGGATGGTAGAAAAACGAATGAACTAAAATGAACTGATTTGCCTCAATTCGTGTATTAGTTCATTCGGATGCCTTGTATGAATCAAAGAGAAGGGGTATGGGAGCAAGCTGATTTTCATTTATCTAATCAGCTCAATCCTTTGACATGATGCTGTAGGGGCTTATCCAATGGTGAGTACTTTATCATGGATTTAAAAAATAACTAAACAGCAGTATAAAAGCAGGCAGTGGAACTTTCTCCCCCCTTCTTTGACTGGGTTTTGTTGGTGACACACTGTGCTTCTGTGCTGTGTTAGCCTCATTACTGGTCTTAGAGATTTTCTGTGAGTCTTGGTGTGCCTGCCAGTTCTCACTTGTTGAATTTGAGAGTCTATTCCTGAGAATTTTTTTTTTTAATTTTAGTGCTTTTTGAGAGCTGTGCACTGCTGTGCTGCTGACTGAGTCAGTGTGCCACACGGTGTCCTGGCTGGCACTGCCAGTGCCTGCCTTCCCTGCTTGCTTACTGCCTACAGCAACCAGGTATTACTTTTGTTTTTAAATCTGCTTTTTTATTTCATTAAAATTAATTAGCTTAAATTTATTTAGATTAAGAGTAAAGGTAGAATCAGTCAAGTACTTTAGCTTAGTGGGCCTGAGGGCTTCTGCCCTATGGGTAGACTAGTTTATTAGCTTGCTAGCCTAAAAGAAAAGAAATCTTAATCTAGTTTATCTGTTAAGTCTTTTTAGCAGCAAAGTTGATTTTTGTTAAATTGATTTTACAGAGGTGCTGCTGTTGCTGCAGTGCTACTTCATTCTCTGAGTACTGATAGAGAAAGTTAATCTTCTGTCAGTCTCAGCTAAGTGTGTTTGACTGGGTTTTACATTTTCTTTTTAAAAGTGAATCTATACTCCAGTCCGCACAGAGTTAGTTTAATCTGTGCTAGTAAAACAACTACTAGCACAGTGACTGACCGACTGAGTTTTTTTTTTTTTGTGTCACTCACTCACTGACTGTGTTTGCTGGCTTTGCAGGCAGTCAGTATAAAAGTGAAGTCATATTTTTTTATTCAGTTAATATAATTATCTTCAGTTTTAATTAAAACATTTTATTAAGGTGATACAATTATCTTCAGTTTAAAATATATATATTTGTTGTAGTACAGTCTCTTTGTGCTTTGTTAGAACAGAACACATTAGTCAGTCTATTTTTTGTTTGACATTTTTCACACTTTTAGTGTCATTTCTTTTGTGCTCACATCAGCATCAGCAGTGAAGTTAACTGTTCTGACTGCTGCTGTGAAGAAATAACTTTTTTTTTTTTCATTAACTGATTTTTATTAGTTCAGTTAGTGTGTTTGTTTAACAGCAATCAGTGAAGCTAACTGGTTGCTGTTTTTATTTGGTTTATTTTAGTTCCTTATAGATTGACTGTGTGACTGTCCTAACCTAAGCTTCAAGGTAGCTGTAGTAAATCTTTTAATATTTTATTTTTCTAATATTAGTACATTTTTTCATACTCTGTTTGCACTGCAGTAGTCGAGCAGGGAGCACTTGTTGGCAGACTGCTCACGCCAGACAGTGCAGTTTTGCACAGTTCCTCAGAAAGCACTAGAGTGAAGAAATCTGCCTCCGTACTAGTCTCTATTTTTTTTTCAACTGTGTTGATCTATATATTAGCATAGCTCCAAACTTCAAATAATCCTTTTTAATACAAATATAAACGTTACTTTCAAAATACTACATACATTACATTATCTCTTTCTTTTCTTCAACTTTTCTTTTCTTAATATTTTAAAATTCTAAATGGATCCTCCTAAATGTTCATCCACTAGTAAAGTGAGGGACGGTCAGTCAGCCACCATCACCACCACCACAAGTAGTGGTAGTTTGAGTATGCAGCCTATGCGTCAGCCTAGGCGGTCAAAGAGTGCCGCTATGTCAGACTCACCACCTAAGAGGCCAAAGTCTTTGTCTCGCATTATGCCTTCCATAATGATCACTTAACGTGCAGTGTAAATTTATCATTAAAATTGTTCCTGGCTTTGAAGCCACAGCACAGACGAAAAAGCTCTGACAGCTACTTATCTGGTCCACCTTGTCATCAAAGAGGTATGAGAGGATGAAATTTAGTCCCGTGGTTGCAGTTTGGGCGCTTATGATCTTTAGAGTTACCAAGATATAAATGCTAACATGTCAGTGAATATTCAAACCTGGAATCTACACCCTGTTCCAAATTATTATGCAAATTCAATTTAAGTGTCACAAAGATTAAATATTTTGTTTTTCAGTTTAACTCATGGATGGCATTGTGTCTCTGGGCTCTTTTGATCACTGAAAACAATCTCGGACACCTGTGGTAATTAGATTTCCAGGTGAGCCCAATTTAAGGAGGGTGTTCCACATTATTAAGCAGAGCACCATTTTCATGCAATATGGGGAAGAAAAAGGATCTCTCTGCTGCCAAAAAGAGTGAAATAGTTCAATGCCTTGGACGAGGTATGAAAACATTAGATATTTCACGAAAACTTAAGCGTGATCATCGCACTATTAAGAGTTTCTGACTGACTATTTTCTTCCTTGGTACAGAAGGAAGAACTATGCTTTCCGTAATAAAATCATCTTCATGCATGACAATGCACCATCTCATGCTGCAAAGAATACCTCTGCATCAATGGCTGCTATGGGGTTAAAAGGAGAGAAAGTCATGGTGTGGCCTCCATCCGCCCCTGACCTCAATCCTATTGAGAACCTTTGGAGCATCCTCAAGCAAAATATCCATGAGGGTGGGAGGCAGTTTACATCCAAACAGCAGCTCTGACATCTTGCAAACAAATTCAAGCTGAAACAGTCCTA